GTTTCCCTTTTTTTTTTTTAAAAATAGCTAGGTATTCTCTCTCTCTCTCTCTCTCTCTCTCTCTCTCTCTCTCTCTCTCTCTCCATCCCTCCCTCTCCAGGACACAGAAACCTTTATTTTCTCCCTACAGCACAAACCGGTGCTGCTGTTAAATAATATTGGATAATTGCACCTGCCGTATTTCCCATATTGTGCCGGTGAAAAATAATTGCCGGTTTTCTGCTTTGCCGTTTAGCTGTGACTCCATCATTTGACTCTGAGCATGTCATTTTCTCCCATTTTAGACTGTGTACAGTCAAACTGTGTGAAAGGACTCACAGATAGGGGCCCTGCGTGTGTGAGTGGGCGCGAGCCTCATTCAGCAATGACTTTAATTTATACAGCATTGAAAATCTGCAGCTATAAATAAACAGCTGACTGGCTTTGCTGCCTACTCAAAATGCCTTATTAAAAAAAAAAAAAAAAAGCACCAACTACATAAGAAAGGAAAACAAGGCTGTCTGACTATGGGATGAATCGGGTTTCTGAATCTTGGGTCTTGGAAAGGAGGTGAGTAAATCCCGGGATGGGCCCAGGGCTCAGCCCCTCAGAGGAAACCTGGCCTCCTTCACTCCTTCCCCAGCCCCCTCAAGCGCCCCACATACAGGCTCAATGTGATTAGGGATTACTGTATATGAAACTGGCTTCCTGTTATGACAAATACTGCAATTGAGTAGGTGCAGAGGAGCTCAAAATAGCTTGGGGAATGTGTGACCCTATGGGAGGAGGAAGAGGTGAGTGTATTGCTTTAAGCAGCAAGGTAAGTATTTCCCCTAATTCAAAACTGGTTTCACATTATGAGAGCCCTGGACCCAGGAACATAGCTTAGATATCGATCAATAGGTGGTAAGCTGCAGTGGTGGTGAGAGGGTGTTGCTCCTCCCCCTCATCCTGGATGAGGGTTTCCCACAACACTTAGCCACTTTCTCCTGTCTAGCGTTGCTAGATACAGAATTGGTTTTGTTTTTGATCATGTTTCTGTTTTGCAATAAGAGAAGATGGTGGGCTGGGGAATCAACTATCCCTGTGAATCTGGCCTTGTCATTTCTGTGCTCAGGACTCAGAAGTCTGCTGGAGCCTTGAGCTCCAGGACCAGAGGGCAGAGGCTTGGGCACATCTCTTGCCAGCGCAGTGTCTGGTGACATTTTGGTACCTTTAAACAGACCACTGGGGGAGTGTTTACACCATGGAAAGGAGCCAACAGTATGAATCAGGGTTTTATTTTTTTTTCCTCCAGAGTTGGTTGTTAAACATTTACCAGCACACCACCATCAGAAGATCAGTTTACTCATTGTAAAATGAGGAGAAAGCATTGGCATTTTAAACTTACAAAGTTTTGTGAGGTTGAAATGGGAGACTGTCAGTTATACCACACTATTCAAATATCACTGCTGGTTTCATCATTTGGTGTCTCTTAGCATTTTCTAACTACTAAGGGCCCAACACAGCCTTACCCAGGCAGTAAATACAATATGTCTTTTCATGAAAGTTTAATCAGTGTTCATTGTAAGTGCTTTGTGGCTCATAATTTAAGCTGTACTAGCCCCAAGAAGCACTTGTCTACTTGCTGTGCATGTGCCCAGTGGGACACAGGTCTGAGGTATTTCTAGTGTCAGAACAGAATTACACAGTGGCCAGCTATGCTGCCATCAAGGTTTAATTTGGTGCCTGGGATAGTAAAGCCATAAATAGACATTGGCGGGTTCACCTCGGGCAAAAGCTTACTATGACTCTGAAGGTATGCGGCCCCAGTCATCTTTAGGGTGTGGAAAATTTGGGCGATCCCCTGTAAGCTTCATATTTGGGGAGTTTCCACTGTGACAACTGCTCATGGGCTTCTGCTGAGACCAGGTGCTCAAAGCGGTTAAAAACAGCAGCAGGTGTGAGGAGGAGGAGGAGGAGCTCCCAGCTCAGGGAGCACTTCTGGAGGCTCAGCACACAGCAGCCACAGAGGAGAAGAGGCAGAACAGGTTTCTTACTGCCTGTTGTCTTTTCATCTTTCCTCGAATATTTTGCCTCTTTAATCTTTCAAGGCTGTTTTTGGTATCCGTGTTACCAAACCTCTCCTAGATAATGTCAGGTTGGGAAGCTGAGGTACAGTTCACAATGGTGCCCACATCCCAACCCATACGACCCCAGATGGCTCTCTCAGTTTTCCTACCACCAGACATTGCCATTGTGTTGTTCAAGAAGTGGCCCTAGGAGGTAGAAGATGGCAGATGGCATTATTGGATGGAAGACCCGAAACCCCAAGGAATAAACTGGGGGTTGTGGGAGGGTAGCTATCCTAGGAGGTGGGTGCTGGTGGAAGAAACATGAAAAAGAAACTTTGGACAACAAAATGGAAGGAGAGAGTCCAGAGTTGCTTCATGCAGGTGGGTGCTCCCAGTGGGAGGACAACACACAGGGTTGGAAACATGGCTTAAAACAGAGCCCAGGGGTCTGGAGAGATGGCCCAGAACAAGTGCCACAGGACTACTTTGAGACTTGGCCCGCAGAATGCCCAACCAGAGGAAAAACCAAGTCAGAACTGCAAGAGGTAGAAATCTTTCCTCAGCAACAGTCTAGAATGGACTCCATAGACAGGCCTGGCACCCTCAACCCCCCACACAAGGGCTGGCATAGAGGTAGGCCTAGCACCCTCATACCCACAATGGATACACAGAGGCAGGCTTAGCACTCACCTCCTGCTGAGATACGTCTTGGTTTTAATTGGATGTTACTGTGTCTTCATAGTGATTCGATCTATCATTTGTGGCTGCTTGTGCACACTGCATTCCGCTCTAGGTAGAATACTGGGAATAGAAGCTGGTGTCTAGGCACACAAGCTCATGGCCCAACGACAAAGTTCTAGTTCCAGATCAGTGGGGAGAAGCAACACCACGGTGCTAGGAGAACCTAGTCCCATTTGAACATTGCAAATACTTCCACTTAAAGAATACAGGTGATAAAAAAATTCCAATGGACTAATCCCAATTGTGAAAATCCCAATACAGAAAACACAAGAAATTCTGTGGAGTTTTATTCATTCGCAGAGAATGAACTTATGCCCTTTGCTGGAAAGTGGATGCTTCTAGAGATCACCATATTAACTGAAACAAGCCAGGTTCCGTGAAATAAGACAATAGTTTCTTCCACACGAGGATACTAGATTGTGTATAGATACATAGACCTCTCTCTCTCTCCCTCTCTTTTTCTCTGTGTGTGTATGTGTGTATGTATGTGTATGTGCGTATGTGCGTATGAGTATATGTGTGTATGTATGTGCGTGTGTATATTTGTGTGTGTGTGTATCTACAATACAAAACAGAAGGGGTAGAAAGGGGAGGCTATGAGATATGGTCAAAATGCATGATATACTCAAAAAAGAAATTATCTTTTTACGAAATCCACACTATGTATGGTGAATAGATAACACTAAGAAAAATTCCCTGAAAGCCACCAGGAAAAACAAAGCTTGAGTCTGTGTGACCTGCCTGACGTGAGCTTTGTCCAACACATACTCTTTCAGCCAAGTGCCCTGCACTGAAGTGACCTCAGCCCCTTCATGTTAATTGCATACCCCACAGTCCTCTCCACATACATGCACACATTTATTTCACAGTGATTTACCCATGCTTACATTCAAACCAATATTCAAATGCAAGAGACTTTTGATTGACAGCAGCATCCTTGGGTTCAATGTGTTTATTCCTGCCCCAAATGTTTGACAGACTTCCCAATAGTATTGCAAATTATTTTCATTGTTTCCACGAATTTGCTACAGACAACTGCAACAGCTTTCATTTCCAAATCAAGGGAAAAATAGAAATACGTGAAAATAACTATCTTATTAAAAAATACTTATGTTTTAGAGAAATTGGGATTATTGACAACTGTCTCAGAGCTGGGAATCGGAAGGCCTGTGAGACAGAAGCCCTTGTCTTCATTGTGAAAGTAACATTTCTTTCTCTTTTTTGGTCTTTTAAGACCAAGTCTTGCTTTGTAGCTCAGTGTAGCCTCAAATTCAGGGTCTTCCTGATTTAGCCTCCTAGGTGCTGGTGCATACCTCCATGCCAGCTTGACACTAATTTTGATGTATGTAACTTGTCATCTGGGTCCTCACCGTACTCCTCTGAAGGTGAAGTGTTTAGATGATTCTAAGTTCCTCTCCTCCTTTCTCTTTCTCTAAACATCCTCTACCAGCAAGTTTACATGAGCTTCTTTAGCCGTTGTCCAGAATTTGGCCAGAAACCATCCTCCACAGAGGTCAGGCAAAGGCAGCAAATTCTGAGATGGCAGGAGTTGTCTATCAGCCTTTCAGAAAACCAAGAGAGCTCAAATCCAGCTACGTTCATAATCCTTTATTAAATCAATACATCATTCTCTGTCCTTTTGACTTATGTTGTTCTGTACCACTCGCAGTGCAAATAATAACAATGGCAATAGTAGAAATGGACAGTTCTTATGTTTCTTCTTCTATGGCTCTTGGAACATGGCATGTAGTCACTTCACCTTCATCCATGGCTTCATCGTGGCACCTGTACAAACAAAAGCAGAGACTTCAGATGTCAGGGTTTCCCTAATAGGTATTCTTATGTAGGTAGACATTCCCCCTGTTGGGGCAGTGGTCAGTCAAAGGCACTTTTTCTCAAGGGAAAAAGAGCTGTGATTAACAGGCACCACTACTGCAAAGACAGGAAGCAATGGGGTCTCCTGCCTTGGGGCTCAGCACATGGTTAGCTGGTCACTCAGTGATGCTCTTTCCTTCACAGAGCTCAGAGAGCAACCTCTCATGGCTGCAGCTTTGGGTGAGGGTTTGTATGCTGCACACATTGATGGGCAAATACAGAGAATTTGCAGAAGGAGACAAAGAGATGGCATCAGATTAGGAAATAAAGTGGATGTATACATAATTGGGGTCATTCCATGGCCTCTTGCCAAATCAATTTATATCAGCCTGAGTTAAAAATGTAGACACATGGATTTGTTTTTGGTAAACACCAAAAACAAGTTTCAGCTTCTGCTGAAACGATGCATTACATTCGGAGAATGTTTGACTAAGCTTTGAAATCAGTAACCTTTCCTTAGTTCATTAGCCTTCCTGCCTGCTGCCAAATATTATCAATACTATTTCTAAGTGTTTTCTCTCCTCCATGTCATCTTCCTTAGACTGCCACCTCCTTATCCCGTGATCCTTATAGCCATCCCTGCTTTCCTCTCATCAGCCCAGGCTGTCACTGTGGCAAAGCCTTGGTATCTACCCAGCTCTATAGTCTTCATATCGGGTTAATTTATGTTTCTACTTATTTTCCTCTTTCGTGTGAATTCTCTGTGTTATAGACGTGATCACAGTTCCTTCTGCGTCAATGTGTATTTATCCCTCTACTCTGTCATCTGTCAACTAAGTAACGTGCTACTGCCTTCCTATTCAAGGGCTTGGTTTGTATTAATTTCTCCAATTTTGTTCCTCTGCAGTGACTCGCAGGTTTCCAAAAATTCTCTTTATCTATGTGTTTACCAACCCCTAGCCCTTTGCATTGATATAACTGTAACCTCTCTCTTCAGGCCCCAGTGCTCCCTTTGTTTAGGAAACAGCCAAATATGAAGACTCAGAGAAAAGCAGGTGCCATTAAGTTCTGTTGAGAGAGGACAGTAGGTGTCTGGGTTTCCTCTAGATTGAGTCTCTTGCACCCAAAACTAATTAGCTAGGTGGAATGCTAGGAAATGTCCAAGTACTCACAGCTCTGCTATGGGTGTGATCTGAGAACCCTCCACACCTCCACTGGGATTAAAATCTTGGCTTCAGGGTGTTGTTGGGAGTGAAGGAACTTTTGTTTGAGGGGTGGAGTCTCATCGGAGGATTTTAAGCTATTGGGGCATATCCTCAGAGGCAGGTGTCATGGAATTATTTGTTAGTTGCTTCAAAGGTTTGACTTTGACCCCACCTATCCCTCTCCTTGTAGTCTGAGATGTAATAATTTTCTTACCCCTTCTTTAACAAACACTAACTATGATCTGTCACCATCTACTACCCTTACCTGAGGCCAAATCAATAGGACTTTCCCTTCTAAAACAGTGAGTACATATAAAACTTTCCCCTTTATCTGTCTTAGGCATTTCATTGTAGTAATGAAAAGCTGACTAATATACTCATATCATGGAGTAGGCACCTTCCCACACAGTTCTCTGTGTGGAGCTCCAACAGTTATTTTTTTCTGTCGAGATTTACAGGATGTGAATACTTCAGAAATCATGTTTTTCTTTTTGTTTCTAGAATATGGAGATGGAGTGGGTCCCTAGTTTTGAATGCTCACAGAGCTGAGCTGTTTCTGGGCTCCCTTTGTCCTCACATTTGAGCTTTGACCGTGTTTCTATATTACATGGGAACTGTCAGCATAGTAACAGGTCATCTATCTTTCTTAAATGACATTCATAAAGTAGATTTCAAACTCTTATTGGGAAGTAATGTTGTTTGCTCCAATAGGTCTTGATTGAAGGGAGTTTTTCCCAGTGGGAAATGTGCTAGTTGAGAGCTAGGGAGTTCGATCCACCCCTGATTTATGTTGTCTTTTCTTTATCCTCTCTTAGGTATGCCAAAGGCTAGAGAGAGTTTAGTACAAATATTTAATGTTTCTATGTCGATATGGCAAAGAAAGTATTGTTTTCATCAATATGACCACAGATATTACATATAATCATATACTTTATTACTCCAATAATCAGAACACAAAATAAATTTTTTGAAATGCTATTCCCGAAGATTGACAATTGTGTGTCTCCAAGCACAAAAAGCTCCTGCTAGGCTTTGAGTTGAAAATCTGAAGACTATTTGTTGGGTTCAGTGAATTGCCTTGGGAAAGCATTACGGCAGTGGCTATTTCAATGGTCTTTCCTATTTTATACTGCCTGCCTCAACACAAACCTCTTATTCAATAGCTCTCTGTATTAGTTACTTTTCTGTTGCTGTGATAAAACACCATGATCATGGCAATTTATAGAATGAAGAGTATTTTGTTTTTGGTTCCAGAGGGATGAGTCCATCATGGTGGGTCAGGCATGGCAGGAGGTGGTAGAGGCAGCCAGAGCAGAATGCTGAGTGCTCACATTTTCAAGCAGGCACAGAAGGCATGAAAAGCCAGTGGAAGTGGGCAAGCTATGTACTCTCTAATTCCACCCTCAATGACATACTTTTCCAGCATGGCCATACCTCCTAAATGTTCCATGACCCTTCCAAAACAGTGTCATAAACTAGGGACCAAATATCCAAATACTTGGAGCCTGGTGAGTACACCTTATCTCTACCAGCCTATACTTTAAATTCCTGGTCCAATACACTAATCTATACCTATTAGAGCTTCCCCTTTGAGTGCTGTCTCCAGGATGCCTTTGCAAGAATTCCCCTTTCCTACCTAGAGAGAAAAGCCCATAGATTTTTAACTATCTGCTCCAACTCAGTCATTGGGAGAGCTAGTAGAAATAAGAATTCAAAGATGGCTAATACCCTTAACCTTTAAGAACCCCAAGACTTTCTGCAAAAATAAATCCCTAAAGCTCTTGTAAAAAGCAGTGATGCTAAAATGGTAAATCTGTTGGTTAAAAGATAGTGGAAAAAGCCATGGAGCAGTTGGGAAGGACATTGAGTCTAACTTGGGCAGACAAGGGCAGTTCTCTTGGAGGAAGTTAAGTTGAAATGAATCAGTAGTTGTGAGCCAGGAAAAGGCTGCGGGACTAGAGGGACACAAACCCATGGTGTCAGAGGTAGCATCAATGTGAAGGGAATAAAAGCAAATTTAGAAGACAGAGACGGGGTCACAGAACATTTGTGTGGCATTTTAAAGGCTTGGGCTTTCTTCTGTACACTGGGGAAAATTTTTTATTTTTATTTATTTTTTATTTTTTTGGAAACTTTAAAGTATTAATAAGTAGAAGAGAGACTGGGAAAAGGGGTCCACACAGATGGCTCTGTTTCATTTTTGTGATTTAAAAGAATTAAGTGCCAATGGAATTTTGAGGGATCTATTCTCTCTTATTTTTCCCCATTGAGACAGGGTTCTTTAAGCAGCTTACACTGGCTTTGAACTTGTGATCACTTCTCCTGCCTCAGCTTCCCAAGTGCTGGAATTACAGGTATATACCATCCGTGCCCCACTCATTTTCTCCTTTAATTCTTATTTATTTGCAATTAATGATGATTTGTTCAGTGTTTAACACATTATTCTATTCTGATGCAATATAAAACTTTTCACCTAGTCTCTTCTTAAGAAACCATGAGAGACATATCTTTATCCACATTAATCTTGATTGCTTATATGAATATTTGCATTTTCTTGGTAAATGTTGGTGCTGGCTTTCGTGCTCATTGGGAACTAACTATAAGGAGAATTAGACACACTACACAGCAAGAAAGCGCATTAAGAACAGCTTTCTAAGACTGGGCATGGTGGCTCATGGCTTTGATCCCAGCTCTTGGGAGGCAGAGGCAGGCAGATCTCTGTGAGATTCAGGCCAGCCTGGGATGGAGCACATAGCAAGGTCCAGGTCAGCTGGGGCTACAGAGTGAGAATCTGTCTCAAAACAACAAAGAACAGCTTTCTGTTGTAGTGATTCAAAGGATAATAAATATCATGAAATTTTATTTTACAAAAATATTTAATTTTTATGCATATTGTATGTGTGTCTGCATGAGTTTATGTATACCATGCTCATTCAGGTGCCTGACAGGGCCAGAGAGCATCAGTTTCCCTGGAACTAGAGGTGAAATTTTAGTTTTTAATCCAATAGATGCTTAACATTAACTCTTATAGAGAGACAATTTAAAAGTTAAACATGGTTAAACTCAACATAATTGATTTAAAAGTTTATTGTTCTTGAGCTCTAAGTAATTGTGCTTTTCTGCACTTACATCTGACAGATTTCAAGTGGATTAGTTTCCTTCCTTCCTTCCTTCCTTCCTTCCTTCCTTCCTTCATTCCATTTCTGTCTTTTAAAATACAGATTTTGGAAAATTCATCAGAAATCTTTATCCAGAATTTCAAATATCAGGCAAATCGTTAGAATTAGATGTCAGCACATCTGAAATGTCAACATATATGTTTCTGGATAATTCCACGAAATTTGAAATTCTGGATTTGGAATATGGGGTTTAGGAAAGTATTTTTAGCATTTTAATTAGTTTTTTTTTTGTTTAGGTATTTATTTTGTAAATGTTTGCTTCCATAGAAGATACCACCTTTATGGTTTTCATAAGCAAAGTCTGTCAAAAGTAGAAAACGTGACAAATCCAAGTTGTGTGCCTCTTTCTCCAAGGACTCGCCCACCCCTTGGAAGTAACTCAAACAAAGCCCTTGAAAACTACACTCTGCACCAGAGGCACCCAGAGACTCAGGGCAGGAGATGTCATTTACATTTTGATGGAACAGAATGGCATGTACCTGAATGGTTGGGGCTCGGGACTATAGGTGGCTTTTCACCTTCTTCATATACAAAATCAAGGTAGAATTCTTGTGTGTCCCCTTGGGTGATAAAGAAAACCCAAACTAACCAACCAAACAAAAAACATGAATGTTTTGTGTGCTGGATAGCTTTAGTGTCAACCTGACACACCTGGGTTGAGGGAGCCTCAATTGGGGAATTGCCTCCATTGGACTTGCCTGTGGCCATGTCCATGGGGCATCTTGATTGTTGAGTGATGTGGGAAGGCCCAGCCCACTGTGGGTGGTGCCACCCCTGGGCAGGTGGGTCTGTGTTGCACAAGAAAGCAAGCTGAGCAGGGGTCAGGAGAGCAAGCCGGTAAACAGTGTTCCTCCATGGCCTGTGCTTTAGCTCCTGCCTCAGGTTCCTGTCCTGAGTTCTTACCTTGGGCTCCCTCATGATGAACTGTGACCCAGGAGATGTAAGCCAAATAAACCCTTTCCTTCCCAAGTTGGTATTGGTCAGGGTATTTTGTCACAGCAGTGAAGAAACAAACTAGGACATTTTGTAACCTGGTTATCTGTTGTATCTAGTTACTTTTCAACAGGCACAATTTGAGTGGAGGAGAAAATGAGCTGGAAGTAAGGCATGGGTAACGAAATCCTCGCTTTCAAAATGTGCTGTTAGGTGTCCTTTCTTAGCAGACACACGGTTCTAGACACCTGTTATTAGAAATCTTAAGTACTAACATATGCACAACGCCCAGTGCTCTTGTCTAGCGGAGAATTCCAATCTCAGCACAGCATGCAATTTTTGGTTTGGGATTGCTTTACTGAGGTTGAGAAGCGAGCTGATAGAAGAGGGATCAGAACTCATCTGAGAAGGTTCTGTTGAGGGCGGAATCACCAAGACAGTTATCTGGATCCATTTCCTTAAAAAAAAAGTATGAACTGAAGTTCCCTGAAAAAAGGCATGCCCATTTTAACAATTCAGCAGACCAATGAGCACCTTGTGATTATGGAGAGTGGGGACATTCCAAATCTACAACTGAGATTGCCCTGTGCTATCTTCATTCCCCTTAATTGCCATCTGTTGCCCACCTCTGTATCTGACCTATTGTCCCACTGACTGTTACATAAAAGCTTTATAATGTGTTAACTTGGCAGATCACGAGCTTCACCAACCCCAAAGTTTAAAATGTTATCAGATAGCTTTGGAAACCTATAACAGGGTTTTCTCCATTTTGCTCTAACATGCAGACCAACCTGTTGTTCCTACAAGCGTATTAATATCTGGTCAAAATTTGATTTATGGGCTGGAGAGATAGATGGCTCATGGTTAAGAGTACTGGCTGTAAATGTTTGTGTAACTTCTTTCATGGAGGAACATGTTACCTGGGGAAACCTGAACCCACATTTCCAGGTCATGGTTACTCACTGTGGTGGTTTGAATGAAAATGTCCCCCATAAGCGCCAAGTATTTGAACATTTTGTCCCCAGCTGGTGGTGCTGTTTTGGGAGGTCTTAGAAGATGTGGCCATGCTGGAGGAAGCAGAACACTGGGGGTGGGTTTAGAGAGTTCTTAAGCTTTGCCAGATCTCTAGTTGTTCTCGGCTTCCTGTACCTGCTTGAAGATGTGAATGCTTAGCTTCTGCTCCCACTCCAGCCACCTCAGACACCATGCCTCCTCACCATGATGGACTCTTGCCCCTTTGGAACTGTAAGCTAAATAAACTCTTTCTTTTACAAGTTCTCTTGGTCATCATATTTCTATCACAGCAACAGAAAAGTAACTAATACACTTATATTTAACTCAGAATAAACTGTCTTTAGATATGAAAGCTGCATTTTGTATGGACAAAAGAAACTGACATTTTAACAGCTTGTGCCCTTCAAGCCGTGAAAGGAGTGAGAGAAGACCCTAATAGGATTTTTTTATCTCCTGGTTGGGACATTAACACCTTGTTCCCTGGGTTCTGACGTTTCTAAAGATTTGGTTTTTAGTTAAATGAGATGTTACTTGAGGGACGAGAGGAGACACTTTGATGGAGTTCTCTGAGGGAAGGTCAAGTTGCAGTGGGCTTTTCTTTTGTTGACTTTCATAGAACCCAATTACGTCCTTTGGATAAAGGCATCAAACAATTAAAAGCATGACCTTCTGGTTTGCACTAATTTTTCCTCTTGTTTTTGGGAAGAGTGGAGAGAGGGTAAGAAAGAGGAACCTCTGTGGGCATGCGGGAAACACTGACCCCATTTCCAGCGGTTGAGTCTCTCTCCGAGCAGGTAGATGCTCACACTCAGGATGTAGGTAACAAGGAAAAAGATGAAAATACCCAGTGGCCTGAGTGAGGCAAAGACAGGGTACACCCAGTTTCCTGTCTGAGAGTAGATCCACAGAATCCTGCATGAAACAAAAAGCCAAGATGATCAGAACCATGGAAGTCAGCAAGCCATTGTCTCCCCAGGCTCAATGGAGCACTGGAGTATGGGTAGATGAAGCTCAGCCTCAAGGAACGTCTGTCAATTCCTGAAGCATTCTCATAAGGGTGTCATGTCCTGGTAGCTTGACTTAATAAGACATCTTGTTTCATGGCGTAAGTGGGGCTTTTCCATCTAATCCTTTAAAATCTGTTTTACTGAAAGGACATGGGAAGCACATAACACATGGCTAGCCAAGGATGGTGTGTGAGCATATGAGTAAATCACTTCTTTTCCTGAGATGGACTGCTGACTGAGGCGTCAGACCTGTGAAGATGGTGTCCATTTGCTGCCTTCAGCCAAAGGAGTATTTGTTGCCATTGGTTTGGGTACCTAAGAGGCAACTGCAACCGCTCTTAGCTCCCCAAGTGTTGGCTTGGGAGAGGCAGAGATGGAACATCGTTGCTTTAAGACAGGATGCCAGGGGGTTAGTTGCTGCTCCCAATTTTAGCTCACAGGTATCTACAGTCTTAGGGATACAGCACTAGGAGGCTCCAAACCTGCTCATGTGATGACAGAACAGGATGTGCATCTGTGAGCCACAGTAAGGAAAAGAGATCCTGGGAGAGAAGCCACCACGGGAAAGTGAAGTCTAAAAAGGCACTTTGCTGGAAGCTATCTGTACTGGGAATGCCAATGTCTAAAATAACTTCGAAATAGGACACAGGGAAATGGTGCACCAGCCACCACTTATAATTGTTACATGCATAGACTCTGGAAGAGGCTTCTGTGACTTAAATGCTCACCCTGACACCTATTATCTATGTAACCTTCAGTGATTATTCACCTTTGCTGGTGTAGCCTGATGGTCCAACAAGCTTACACCGTACCAAGCTGCTGTAAGATTTAAGGTAGCAGAACATGGGCTCGCTGCATGTGTATGTCCTGTGTAAGCCTCACAGGACAGTGCCTGGCACTTGGTGGTCATCTGACAAGAGTTTCTAAGCAGCCATATTCACAGAGGGATGGCACAATGAGAGTTTCTCAGCAACTCTTCTTTGAGGCCACTGGTCTCTTATAATGGAAGTTAGGCCAGATCTCAGAAACAGCATTCCAATGTGGCTGTCTGTTAGAGGAGTTCAGGACTAGGATGAGGCAAAAGGGGACAAGGAGTGTGAAATTCACAGGCTCATTTCTATGCATCAACGGACACCAGCAGCAGTGTAGAAAGGTTTCTAAGGAATGTAGGAAAATATGCACAAATCGTATGTGTAATGCTAGGCTAACGTTCAGAACACATACATAACCCATCCAACTCAACAAACCCCAGACAACATAATTAGGAATGAACAAATGACTTGGAGAGACAATCCGCAAAGAACACAAATGACCATGAATACATCAAAAAATGCCTACTGTGACTAACAGCTGGAGAATACAGATCACAACTATGAGGCATCACCTTATTACTTGCATCAGGATGGCTATAGAGAAAACCCCCAAACAAATCAGACCACAGAGAATGAGTGTTAGTGAGGATGTGGAGAAATTGTTATTGGTGGGACTGAAGAATGGGGCATCCACAGCCAAAACTAGACGGAGGTTCTTAGAAATTTAAACGAGGATTATCATATGATCCAACAATTCTACTTCGGAGTAATATACTCAAAGGTTTGAAAGCAGAGACATCAAGATTCAAGTCCATTCAAGTTTATAGCAACATGATTCACAATGACTGAAAGGTGGAAACATGGCAAGAGTCTATTGATGGGTGAGTGGATTAATAAAATGAAGCATTAAAAAGAAAACCACTTGAACATGTTACAACATGGGTGAAGCTTGAAGGCTCTATGTGAAGAAAAGGACACTTAATTCTATTGATAGGTAGAATCAATAGTGTCACATTCATAGAGACACAAAGTGTAGGATGGTCATTGTGAGAAGTGGCCAGAGGAGGACAGGGGCGATAGTGGTTAGCGGGTTCAGAGTTCCAGTCTGAAGGAAAGAAGAGTCCTGGAGGTGGATACTGGTGTAGTGGCTGCACAACAGTGTGACATATTTGATGCTACTTCTAGTGGTTTAAATGGCAGATGTTATGCTATGTGCAGTTTATCACAATTAAAATGAATTTCAGGCAGTGTCAGTCTTAGCAGTCATGCAAGTATAGACGTGGTGCTTGGTCCCTAGTCCTGCCCCGCTGGGATTATTCTCCCAAACCATCCAGATGTTCTTCCCAGATGGATAATGCAATGACTGTAACAAAAATTGGCATCCTTATTATAAATATCGGAAATAAGGTGTACATGGCAGAGATGTATTGTAGGAGCTTATACATGGCATTCGTGCCTGCGTGGCTTCTCCTTGGGTCAGACTAGAGAAGAAATAAAAGGTAGGAAAAAAGTATCACCAAGTAGATAGGACTGGGGGTTTGGAGTCAGCAAAGAATTCTGAGTGCACAATAAATAGTTTGAATTCATTAGCTCAGGTTGTTTACACACTCAAAGTTAGGTAATTCCCATGCACGTTTATGGAAGACAGTCTCTGAATAAGGATGTCCCCCTTAGGTCCTGGAAAGTTTGTTTGCTTCACTTTTTTTTTTCAATGTAAGGCTTATAAAGGAAAGAACCCGAGTTAAGTTAATGAATTGTATATTTTCACAGAGAACATGCCAAGGAAGTTATAGCTACAGTAGCTGACATGGGAAAATAGGGACCAAGTGGAGCCAGAGGCAAGCTTACAGTCGTTTATTAAAGGACATTCAGAGGAGAAGGAGAGAAGGGAGTCACCATGGCAGCTGGCATCCCCTCTCTGTGGAGTGCTTGAAAAGAGTGAGGAAGGAAGAGGGAACAAGAAAGAGGAGAGGAGAGAGAGGAGATGCGGGGTGTGGGGATGGAGGAGGGACACTTGGCATCACATGACCTCTATCTCAATCAATGTCAGCTCTTCTCTCATCCAGTCCCTTGAAATTCCACCCGAATGTCTCTCCAGAGGACATTTCTTTGTGGCCTCAGTCCAGGCCTCGTCATCTCTGCTGTGGCTCTATTCTGGTCTCTCAAATGTTCCTTGCTTCCTAAATCCACTCACTCTACTGCTAGCCCCAGGAGCCCAGCAATCTCTGTGCAGGCACACTCTGCTCGGGACACCCCTGCATTCAGTAGATCACCACTCTGTCAGAAACCCCAACTCCTGAAGCTGGCTTGCCCTGCCTACCACCATCTACCCTAGCGTTGCAGTCTCAGTGTTCAACCCTTTTGTGTTCCTCAAATGAACCAAGCTCTGCAGCTTCGGCACCTTCATCCTGTGGGTGTCTGTGCTTGGAACACCTCTGAGCCTTCTGTCTGCTGGAACATACATCGCCCTTGTCTAAGCTTGGTGGTCCCATCTTACTCACGTTTCAAGGTTCAGTTTAAAGGTCCATTTCTCTAGAAAAGATTTTCTGGAGGTACTTAGCAGAGTCCCAGCAGGTCAAGTCCTTTGCCATGGGCTCCCTATCATGTACCTTATGATCACTGACCACTGGACTATTTTCCTCACCATCCTAGAAGCTTGGCAAAGATGGAGATTGTATCCACTATACATGACAGAGCCCATTTTATTTTTTAAATGAGTGTATATTCAGTGTACAAAATGATGGATTTCATTATAACATTTTCAATCGAATACATCACATACTTGGGACATATTCAACTCTTATTGCCCTCCCTTGTCCCTTTCCACTGGTCTCCTTCTACCTTCTAACACACACACACACACACACACAGACACAGACACACACAGACACACACACATTCTGCATATGAGAAAAAACAGGCAATATTTCTCCTTCTGCATCTGGCTTTTTTCTCTTAACATGATGATTTCTAGTTCTACCCATTTACCTGAGAGTGACATAATTTCATATTTTTTGTGGCTGTACAAAACTTCATTGTATTCATAGCACATTTTTCAAAAAATTCATTCATCTGTTCATGGGTGTCTAGGTTGATTCCATAACTCACTCTTACAAAGAGTGTTGCAGTAGAGGTGGGTATGCAGGTGTCTCCACTGTGTGCTTGGTTCCTTTGAGTATATTACCAGGTGTGGCAGAGCTGTGGCTTATGTTAGATCCATTTTTAGTGTTTTGAGGAATCTCCATACTCATTTTCCACAGTGGACACACTGATTTACATTCCCATCACTAGTGCACAAGGGCCCCACCCCTGTCCTTGCCAACATTTGTTGTTAGTTTTCTTAGAGATAGCCTTTCTGCCTGGGGTGACGTGGTATCTCAGTTCAATTACATTTTTAAATGAAGGGCTGTTTGGGTGACTGGTAGCACGCATGGCTCTTTAAATGCTGTTCACTGAAGTTAATACAAACCGATCTCAGCTACAAGACCACCACCAGGACCTCTGAGAATCAGGAAGTGTACCTCAAATCTCAGTTTGGGTTTCCTCTGGTGATCGCTTTATCAATACTTTGAGGAGAATTACTGTTCATGTCACGGGAGAATGTTCGGTGTCCTTGAATTCTCTGTTGTGGTAATCTATGGAAGCCAACCTGCGTGGACACCAAATGGTAACAAAACCTAATTTCTGGAGTCCATCTCTAAACCTCATAGCATCATCACAGTTGTCATGAAATCTGGATCTTTCTCTATTATCAGTAGGGAAATACTGCAAGTCGGTGGTTAGAGATAAGCAGGTAATGGAGTTTTGTGGGTTTGGGGAATATCCATTATGAAGTCTTGGTCCTCATGTCACATCGTTCCACAGCATCAGAATAAAACAAATTGAGGATGTGGATGCTATGGTTTGGTACGGTTTGTCTCACCAAACTCATGCAGGGTTTAATTCACAGTCTTACGCAAATGCTATTAAGATAATGAAAACTTAATTGACTTTGGTGTTTAGAAGTGCATCCTTTGGAAAGTGATTAGATTGAATTAGGTCATTCGGGTTGAGTTCCTGGGATGGATTTCTAGTGGCTTTATAAAGAGAAAGA